GGATGCAGCATCATTTACAATCATTTGCCATTGTTGAAGATGAATATTTAAAATAATAAGGATGTTAGAACATTGACAGGAGCAATTTCAGGGACTTGGGATTGAGTGCAAATTTACCAAAATTAATCCAGTGAAAACTGCTTCCATCTCAAATACACCATTCAAGAAAACCAATAATATCATGAGATAAATATTATCATAATGCTAATCCAAATATGCAACCAACACAAATAGTTGTTGGAATTCCAAAGACTTCCATTCTCCCCCCCCCGTGTCATGCATAATATTTAAAAATAAAATGTTTTAAAATTTTGAAAATTACCTAAATTCATTTTAAAATGCTTCAACTTTTATTTCTTCATGTATTTACTCATAGAAATATGCCAGGAAGTTACTTTTGTTGATGAGAGTTAGTTATCAATCACTCCATCATTATTCACACTTTATTTTTATTACTAATCACAAAGTTAGACTAATAGACTTTGACTTCAAAATATAAATACAGTAAAAAGTAACTTTTTCAAGCTCCAGAATTAACAAGAGTGGCTCTTCTTTGTTTTGACTCTATTAATTTATAACCTAGTTAGTGGGGGAATACATGTCTATATTTGAAGACATTTCCCAAAGGACAGAGATAACCCTAACTTAAAGTCCATAATGAAAACCTATAGCAAGAGAACATTCATGTAAAAACCACCAAAGAACTATGCAATTGTCTCTTAATTGAATGAAACTTTGGGCCACAAAAATCATAGCTGATGCTTGAAATGTATAACCTAGTGTAAAATAAGAATTTTTTAATGAATATTGACTAAACTCTCACAGAATGTTTAGGATTAGGCCTTCACATTCTTTTCATGTTTATCATGCCTTTCAGGTCAGAAAAAGACACCAAAACATATCAATGTGCTATTCTGCTTATTGTTATAAAAATAGCATTACAAAAATATGAAATATTCATGAAAAATCCTTATTTCCCTCAGGTTCCAGCTAGCAAAACATGCTGAGAGATATTAAGCACGAAAGGAAGGACCTGTAACACACTACAGATAATCACTAAAGTTATAAACAAAGGCAGTTGATATTAATAATTAAATGAGAATGTCCTTTGTGGAGGTTTCCATGAATTCCACACATGGTGTGTAACATCTCTTGGCTAACTGATCATTAGTTTCTTTCTAGAATACGATTGAACATTAATGGAATCTGTGCTTCACTCTTGTGTTTCAAGTCCAAAATTTTGTCTAGTATAATAAATAATTACACACGCCCTGTGAGGACTCATCCCTCCTAGGCTCTGGTTTCTTAATATATGTAAGAGAATATTCAATAGAAGCAAATAGGGGCTGTTTATCCATGCTCTGAAGTTTGGTGTTGCACAGTAACTGAGTGGTAACAGAATTATTTTAATATCATCAGTAGGTATGTTGGCTAGCTTTATGTTAACGTGACACAAGCTGAATTCATTTTGAATGTGGGAACTGACAAAAATTCCTTAGCAAATAGGCCTGTGTGCCAGTCTGTGGATCATTTTCTTGATTGATGAGGAAGAGCCCAGTTCGTTGTGAACAAGGCCACCACTGGCAAATAGTTCCTGGTGTCATAAGAAATATGGTTTAGAAAGCCATGGGAGCAGGTCAGTAGGCAGCACTCCTCCCTAGCCTCTGCACTAGCTCCTGCCTCCAGATTCCTGCCTCTATGTTCCTGCCATGATTTTTATCAGATGACTAAGTGCACCTGGAAAACTTAACTAAGACAGGAGGAATGCTATATGCACCTGATCTATGAATTGAAAACACTGAAAGTTGTGTGTAATGATTTATGAGTTATTTGTTTATTTGTTTTGCTGGGGGAGATTTCTCTGTTTTTGAAAACTCTATCTATCTCAACAGGGTCTTCTTCAATGAGGAAGCATCAGTGCTGATCACCACCCTGTGATCCAGAAGAGTTCAGTGACCAAGCATGGCTTCCTCTTGGAGACTAATCCTGTTCCTGTCTGTCACCAGGTGTCTTTCAGGTAAAATGCATGCATAATTAATTATTGGATGGTTGTTAAGTCTCAGTTAGCAAAACTATATGAAGATCTCCATAGCAAAGAACTAAAAGAAGCTTTAGATAAAATAATCATATCACTTTGCAATACAAAATGCCCCATCTCCAACATGAGTATGTTGCTTTATTTTATACAAACACAAAATCTTATTTAAGCATTTATATTCCCTCTCTCTCTGTTGTGTCTGTGTATCTGTGTATGTGCATATACAATAGTCTACATGTGGCTGTCTGAAAAACATCTTCAGGAAATGTTTTTCTATTCTACCATATGGGTCCCAGTAACCAAATGCAGGTCAAGAGAAATGGAGGCAAATGCCTGTACACACCAAAACCCTTTATCAGTGCTGAAAATAAGTTTGGGAAGCATAAATGGTAAAGATCTTTTAAAAAATGTTGCTGCCTTTATTTTTAAGTAACTATTTTTGGTTTTTTTTCATAAACCTATTTCTGACATTTTAATTATCTTAAATACAGTTTTAATAGAATAACATTTATTTTTATATATGGTGAATCAATATTGTATGCAAATATTGTTTATGTAACACACATATACATGTACCTTTTAATATATAGAAATGTGGATGATATAACAACATTCATTTCACATGTAGTGGCATGAACTTATAGCACTTATACCATATTATATTACTGTGTGGTGAAAGTTTTTCATTGATTGTATAGAATTCTTGTTGTATCCAAGAACAAATACATTCTCAGAATAGTATCATATTTGTGTATTACAGTGTTTCAAGTAAACACAAACTATCAAATAGGGCAGATAGAAGTAAATATAAACTCCTCTCAAATCATTAAGCTAAGCTTTTCCTAGCAATTATACAATAGCTTTCAGTTTTGTCACTGATTCTCCATCTGTACATACCTCCAGTGACATATACACAATATGTGACTATTTAAAACCCCAGCTCTCAATCAGAAAGTGCTCCAAATGTGCTAGCTTGAAATCTGAAGCCATTTCCACATGTGGAGAGATAAATTTGGCATTTCATTTCTTTGAATCAGTATGTGTGAAGATGTGATAGCTAACTACATGAACGTGTTTACATGTTTCAGAAAAGTATACATAGAAGGCTCTCACCCTATGAGCAACTGATTAGTTGCAAAGACAGTAATTATTCATTTATCAGTAATATTATTTGTTATAAACATTACTTATTAAGCAGTAAATTCATAAGATACGTGAACCTTGGGACCTCAATAAGATGTTGGAGGAGGCCAGTATGTGTCCTTGAAAAGTGTATAAGCAAGACACTGGGCATTAAATGATCCCACGATCACTTAGGAAATGACTCCTCAGAAAGCTGTTACTGTCTGATTTGGTTACCATCTCTGCAGTATTACTCACTCTCTGAATTCAATCTGTTTATCTCCTGTCTTCTTAAGCTCCTTGCTTGATCGAACACATGCACTGCCTGTTTGTTGTTGTTGTTTTTTAATTTATTTATTAGTTCTAGTTAGGGAATAAGCTTGTTTCACATGTAAGTCCCTTCTCCCTCTCTCTCCCCTCACTCCATCCCTCCTCCCCCACCCCCAGCCTACCCCCCACCCCA